AAATGATAATGGGAAATAATATGTACGAGTATTTTCCAATTAAATGGCCGTTAAATCCGCCACTGCAGACCAAAATGTATCTAAATAATATACCTAACACTTAAATATTAAAATTTAAAATTATTAGGTAGGTATGTAAGAACAATAATTGTTAAATGCTAACAAAGTACCCGTCTGGCATCTACCTAGGTATTTTTTTTATAAATTATTGATAACGTATAGGTATTTTGATATAGGTTTATACCAATATAATATACCTACGACTATTCAATAAGACGTACGTCAAGGTTTAGTGTTATTTACATTTAGATCGATACTATGGTCTATGAAGTATGAGTAAATTTATTACAAATGGTCCATATCCAAATATTTAGTTAACTACCTATATATTTTTTTTATATCAATGTGTTATTCTTTCTAACAATACATATTTGATATGGTTCATAAATGCTATTAAACTTAAACGCTGTCAGCTATTTTTAATCACCTACCTATATTCATTACTATAATTTTATTATGTATGTACCGTACGCCTGAATAGTAATGTATAATTTATACGTATGATGAATTTAGTAAATTAAACATATTATCATAAATAAGTAATAATGGTACCAGGGTCGTACCTAAAATTTACGGGGCCTGGGGCATAACTCTTTTAGCTGGGCCTATAAAAAAATATGATGTTTTCTGAAAAAAGCAGAGGCAAAAAATTACATTCCCGTAACCCCTCCCCCCAAAAAATGTAAAAATCCGTAAAGTATTTTTGCCTATTACCTTTACAAGAGTCTCACCTAATCATTTTACTACTTTATGACAATAATATATAGGTAGTTTGAAGAGCTCGTGGAGCAACAACAATACATCTCCATATTTTGTCAAAATTAGTTTTTGATTACACGTTAAAACTGCGTAGTTTGGTTCAACAACCAGAGAAATCCGATTGCTAAATACAGAGAAATCATATTAATGGAGATGGCATGTTGTTGCACTAAAAATATTAAATTCATTACTAGTATATAGTATACTATAGAGATACTTGGTATATTATAAATAAGACATTTCCTTGTTTTATTTTTTAGCTTTGAGATCATAGTATGAATTAGATTTTGACAATTTTTCACTGGCTATAGGGATTAGGGGCTACTTTTATCTAAAAACAGAACAATCTTATTAATTGGAGATGTCTTGTTGTTGCTCCCAGCCAGTCCCAGGTTTTCATTTATTTAATACACTATCCAAAAGGCTATTCACTTTCATTACCCTAGTGTATACTGTAAAACTGTAAGTCTGTAAGTATAAGTATTTCGTATAATTGTACGTTAGTTTCATTTAATTAATAATATAATATTGTAAAATAAAAATTCAAACTATTTTTGTAGTTTAATATGCAAATTGTTGTATTTAAAGAAAACTTAGGATTTTTCAAGCGTGTGAGCGTGGGGCTCAAAAGAGGAGTCCAAGGCCCGGGGTGTGGGTAGCGATCGCCCAAGCCTGAGGATGACCCTGAATGGTATACAGTTGTATTTAAAATGTCAGCTTTTAACTTTTAGTAAGGAATAAGAATTCATTTTTACCGAAAACATTCCATTTATTATATCATTATTATTAATTATAATAGCACATATTTATATAATATATTATTGTTATACTTATAAGCTGTATCGAGTCAGCTACCATAGATCGGTGTGAATAGGTTGGTTAGCATTGGGTTACGTTCATGAAAAATATTTATGGAATTATCTATGCCCAACTTTTTTCTATCATTTCTGTGAGAAAAACTTATATGCAACTTAAGTTTATTTTTCAAACTTGAGGTATGGGTATCGGGTATGAATATGAAATTTTATGAATTTTATACTGAAAAATAATTTTTAAACTTTATTGTTTTTATGTGTAGAATGCATTGTACCACTTGTGGGTTAGATCATCTAAGTTAGGTGATAAACCTTGATTTTTATTTATTTTTAATTACGACACATAATATGGTCAACGACACATTATAAAAAACCATAAACAAATTCCTCAAACACAACTTTTTACAAAAGCGTTCATTTCTCAATCAATTTAGAAATAATATACAAGAAACCATTATTTTACCACTAAATCAATAAAGTCAATCAATTTTTGTGACCTCTTCACAAAATAAAAAATTCCTCTTCGACTATAGCAATATTTTCTATTGGTATAATTCATCCATATTAAAAAATAAGACGGATAAATTTTGATTGAATTTTTTCATTACATTATATTAATAATATGTAATATTGGATCCAAGAGATTTCATCCAAATATACCTAATTGTACAAATATTTAGTTTTGATTGAGTATTTTTAGGTATGTATCTATAAAAAATAATGCTGACACAACATCATTAAGTCATTGTAATTAAAATAAATGGGGAAAGTAGGTAACCACTCCGCTGTACAGTAGGAATCGAATGCCATTATTGAGAAGGTAACTATAATGGATGTATTCGATTTAAATTCAATTATAAACAATTGCATACATAAAACGATTCTGAATGGAGACAGTTTGTCAGTTAATTACCATAAAATATATTTGCGATTTTTACGAAATTGTTAATTTTAAATAAGTATTCCAGATATGGGGTGCAGCTAAACTGTTAAATTTAAACAGAATTCAAAGATTCCAATCGATCAGTTTGTGCATAATAACTAAAGCCCCTTCTACGTATCCAACCATAATATACTTCTCACAGACTTACATTTCAAAACTCTCTTAGAAATGTCCTCAATTATATAGGTATAAACGTTATCGTACATGACTAGAAAGTCACCCTAACCCACTAATCTCAGCAATTGACTCGGACTCAATAATTGAAAACCCCCAAAGGAGACTTAGTGAAGGTGGCGTCGTGACCTAAACACTTAATCCTTTATTAAAAAGAAAAAAAAATATATATATACATAACAAATTAAAAAAAGGCAGGTAAGTGGATGTCGCTCAGCTGTACAGTAGGTTACAAGTTGGTCATTGTTTAATGGATTGTATTAAACTTGAATTCAATGATATATTATCATTGTATAAGAAAAACGATTCTGAACGGAGACGGTTTGTCAGTCTGTATATTTTATATTGTCATTAATTATTATAACATGTAAGTTGTTTTAATACTATAAACATGATATTTATATAGATAATACCTGCCTATTTTTTTTTTATTCGTTGCTACGGTGATAAACAAATTGTTAGAAATTAAAATCCCATTTTAAGCGGTTTTCCGTAATTTTTCAGTACTTTTTCCCGTGGCATCAAATAACTATTGAGAAAATCGAAAAATGACCTCTCTAAAGTACCATCTTGGTCCAATTTGCTAAAAGATAAGGTACTATATGTTGAAATCAAAGCACTCCTTCTGGTAGAAATTTTGTATACAGGATATAAAAAAAATAAAAAAAAAAATAAACACCATTGTAAAACCACTAGCTTCCTTGCTTCGCTCAGAATCTAAAAAAATAAATATAAAGTGTAACGGCTGGGTTACTTCTTTTTTCATGTAACTCGTAACTCGTGTCAGGTATATTTTAGCACATATATTATTATTGTAAATAAAGTTTTACAGATGGTACCTATATGTATTGAAAAAAAAACAAATAATAAAAAAATCATCGTGCCATTGTATCTTTAATATTTCTGAACGGCTATAATAAAAATGTATGGGAACCTTGACACCTTGTATTAAATTTTCAAAATTTGTGACCATAGTGAAAAATTATATGTTGAAATTTATAGAATATAAAACTAAAAAATACCTATATATAAAAATATGTTAATTGTCTCTAAATAGCTCAAAAGAGTCAACATTTGTTAAACATTTTATTACGTATAGAAAAATATGGTAATATAAAAATGTTGTGATTTTTTCATTTTTTCATTATTCCTTTTTTGAAACGAATGCTATCCGATTATTTTGAAAAAGTATTGAGAATTTTCAATTTTGATCTCTACATAGTACCACTATATAATTTTTTATCGGAAACAACCATCAAAGTTGAAAATAAAAATGTTTTTACATACATGAAAAAAAACATATATAATTTTAAAATCATGGCCCTATTCAGAATATAAAATTTGTAGTTGTGTCATCAAATATAAAAAATAATAATTTTTATACAAAATTTGAATTTCTTTATTTTTATATATTTTGATCACATGCATTATCATATTACATAATCCAATTGTTAATTTGGAATTGAAATAGGTATTTGTATATAGGAACACAGCCATCGACGGTAAAAAAAAAACATATATATTGAAAATAATAGATAACTAACATTATTTCGGAGAATGGTTGCAAGAAAGTTATATCTAAAACAACTAAAATTATTAATTAGTTTGAGAATAAATATTTATTTTAATATGTACATTTATTTTTATATCTATCACACGAGACTAGGAATGAAAATAATATTTTTTTTCTTTACAAAAATTACACATTTCAATTTGCCCATAATTTGACATAATTTTTTTGTAGTTAACAAATTATGTTTTGATAATTTTCAAAAAATTATAAATTGGTAAAATGATATTACAATAATTTATACATGGTTACAAATATTATAAAATATTTTATAAAATTAACTGGGTTAAAATGATTTTTACATTTAAATAACACACATTTGAAGTTGATTGAATTTATAGTTCAAATTCAAAGAGATTATACTTTATGTTTACGAATTGTAAAATGTGAATATATTATGTTGTAAAATTATTAAAAAAGAGCATTGAAATAATGAGTACAAATTAAAACATAGGTATTCTTTTGTCTTTTTAGGACACTTAAGTTATTATTATTGATAGACGATAGTTATATAATATATAATTGATAGTTTGTATATCATATGTATTGTATTTAATTTTAACTTGTTTTTACTTAAAACTCATATTATTATTACTATTAAAAATTATATTTAAATTTAAGGATAAAAATCTTTTTAAATTAACGTAATATTGCTTTGGCTTATTGGAATTTTAAAAGTTTATACATTTAAATCAGCCATCATTTTTCTAAAGTCTGCAAGCGTATTGTAATCTGGATCCGCATCAATATCTGCAAAATCCTGATTGGAATCAGATTTTACAAATGTTGGATTGTACCGGCTCAATGACAAGGGACAAGGTAGTAGTTCTGGCATTACTGAATGATGTGTTATTAATGCGGTTAGCGTTGTGAATTCTTTCGTAAAACCCTGTTAAAATTTTTTCAATTTAGTCAAAAACATTTTTTCTTTACAATAAAATTTGTACAAACCTTAATTTTAAACCCTTTGTTCGTTCTGAGTATTAGATAATGCGCGATTCCTAGAGGATGAAATTCTTGAGGTACTCTTAACGACAGTGCAAAACACCCTGGTTTAGTGGTACTTTCACGAACCATAAAAGCTCCTACTGGTTCTTGTCCCAAAACTTCTAATGTTATTTCTCTAAAATACATTCACACGAATAAGATTAATATAATATTTTTAAATTATAATATATTTTTAAAGTGATTTTAATCATTTATTACCTTGGAATTCCGGCTTGAAACCAAGGGGCTTTTTTTAATTCACATTCTTCTGGTTTGTCTAGAAGACTATCTGATCGTTCTGGCAAAGGTGGAGGAGTTGGAGTTTTGTCCATAACGTTTGAAATCAAATTATTTTTAAGTTTGATATTTGAAGGCGAGTCCGGTGATCGTGAACTGCATTGAGTTAATCTATTCAATTGATAAGGAGTTTAATAACGGTAAATATATTTGAAAAATAGTCATTACCTATTATCTTTTAATTTTTCCTGAGAAGATTCAGGTGTACTGCAATCGTCACTATTAGTAGACGGCGAGCTTGATACAGATGAGCTACAAACTAGTGGATACCAGTCTTCGTTAGAACAGTTGTTGTGTACGGATAGACCCATGGCTAAACGTTTAATTAATGGGGGTTTTTCCAACATACGCTTGTATGTATTTAAATCAGGACTGTCGTCACTACTAGTTGGCGTAGAAAATTGTCCTGGCGTGAGATCTAAGCCTTTGTTATGGTCAAATGGACGTACGCCTGGTAGGGTGGTAGGTGGTGTTGGTTTAGGAGATTCAATAAGCTTCTTCGACAAAGGAGAGCCACTTTGGATTCGTTGCACATTTAATTTATCGTTTAATTTCATCTGTAAAATATTTGCAATACAATTTTTTTATGCATATACATTTATGTATATTTAACATTTTTAGTTGAATTTTAAACTTACCCAAGATGTATTATTCAAATTAGTTTTTGGCGAGTTCGTCACCGATCGTCTTTCCAGCTCCAGTTGGGCAGCATACGCCATTCTAAACGCATTTCCCACAATAGAATTTAATCCCTCAGCCTGAAAATTAAATAATAGGTTGGTTATTAACATAATTTCCTGGTACAACAAAATACTACGTATTTTAGTAATTTTTATTATTGATGCCTTATTGCCTTATATTCCAAGGACTTTTAGTTATAAAATGTTATTACCGGGCTAGGTATGATGTGTTAATATCTTACACTTCGAAAAATGTCACATAAGATTATAAGCTGATAACTGATAAGTTTTAAGGTTAGGTTAACCAAGGTTGATTTTGAATTAACTATTAACAATTTAACTTTCGCCACACACCTTAGATTCTCTCGATTTCACATATCTTATTCTACCAAACGTATGTAGTCAAATGTATAACATGTTTACTCGTTAGAGATGAAATCAAAAGTGACTATTTATATACCAACACCAATCTCCGTTCCCTAAAATCAAGTCACGGATTGCTTTTAGTATAATAGGTAAAACGCAAAAGATTGGTGTACTTTAATTTATGCTAATATTGTATATTTAACATAATGATTGTATATCATCAAACAATTTTTTTTTTCGTAACGGAATTTATTAAAGTATTCAACTTGAAGTAAGTCATCTTGGTCCTTGGACCTAACCACTGCGTGTGGTTTAAGTAAAACGAAGACAGTGCTATCAAGTATTAATGTATTATATTATTATATAAATGATGAAATATGTTACTATATTGTACATACTCCACTCCTGAATTTACTGTATAACAAATTTAACTATTTTTCAGTAAGAATGTTAGATTCACGAATTAATAAACGTATATCCTAGTGGTGCTTCTTTTATGAGTTGGTAATTCACAGAGAAATGGAGGAGAATACAATAGTTATCAAAGGTGGTTGAATTTGGTTCTTCAGTCATAGAGAATTCCGTTTGAAAAAAATGCGTCTTTCGTTAACGAATAATTGTTAATTTGGTATGTCAGGAATTTGGCTTCTTTGAAAACCTGGAAACGACATGACGTTTTGTTTAAAATTATTAAATAAAAATATTGATTATTTCAGTATAAGATTGATTGAATAAGACTTGTAACTTTATAAAATTATGATGCAACTTATTACGATATAACGACTTAGGTATGAGAATATCATGAATTGAGCTTATTACTTCTACGTAGAACCTAATATTGTTTTATAATATTCCCAAATATGAGATTCTACGGGACAAGAAAGAAAATTCAATCTGTATTATGGTACTAAATGGCTTTCTGTAGGTACTCCTAAGGGTTCTCTAGTCTTCTATAGTCCTTCGAGGCTTTGTATAACGCGTAAGCCGATTTATATACGAGCAATATTTTGATATCGGATCATTTAAAATCTTTGTGATTGAACGAGTAATCTCTTTTTAACGTATTCCGTATAGAACTTAGAAATATAAGGAGACATTTTTGGTATCAAATATGATTTATTTTCTGAATATTCACTATTACATGATTGCAACATTTTGATTGTTAGACAATAAGTAATAACTAATAACTATTACAAATGTTTATTTTGCTTGTAAAGTATACCTATAGTATTTTTTGTCACACAAATTGGATAATCAATTGAACATCAACGAAGTGAAGAAAACGGAATTTAAATAATACAACATATTGAATTATATTCTTAGATGCGGCAATTTTTTTTAATCTGTAGTGTGTTTCTTGGTTGTCGCAATATCGTACATAGATAATTTTTCGTAAATATTTTTTACAAGTTCCAGTACCTATATAATACTATATATATAGTATTATATATACAATATACCTCCTAATGAATAATATAAAAACACATTTTCATATCCTACGAAATGATAAACGAGTTGATCTGTCGAAGAACCGTTGCTCTGGCCACCTCGCCTCACCGAAACTAGTTTAGTTTTAAATGAAAAATGTATAAAATATCGATGGAGATATTTTTAAATTCTCAAGAAAAAATAAAAAAAAAACGACAAAAGACCAATGCGAATGTTATATCAAAGTGTCGGAGAGGTGGTGTGGAGGTAACGAGATGACTGTACGGCGCTTTGCCGTTATTACTGCACGTGGTGGTTCCGCCACCGCAAAAGAAACGTGCGCATATTATTATCATAACTAAATAGGCACTATATAAATATAAAATATTATAAGCATAACGCGGCCAAAAACTCGTCGTCGTCAATAATAATTTTCGTTTTTGTTTCGGGGGAACATGCGGATGACAATGTATTTACGTATCCGTCCCACTCTGCACAAACGGCACGCACAACAACTGTTTCCCAGTACAAATATTTGCATACTATATAATAAATTAGACGTGGGAGGGACACGGCGCGCGCGGACGTACAATCGCGGCGGACCGTAAGCGCCGATTGCACACATTTCCCTCCACCCCTGCACGACCGACGTACTACTTCACGCGCAACAGTCGTCTCCGTCGGTTCACGTTTACATGGCTTTTTTTTCTTCGTTTCCCCTCCCCCGCATGACGCCGCCACTCACGTAATCCTCTTTTCCCACCGCTTCTTCTTCTTCTTCTTCTTGTTTTTCTACAGTTCTATACTTCACTAGTGTCCAACGATGACGACGACGACGACGACCGCGACGGTACGTACGCATATAGCGGCCGGTTGGTAGGAGGCAGTGTGGGCACCGCGCGCAAGACTGCATTCCGTACATATTTCGACGAGAATGTGCTCTGCGGGCGGCGGCGGCGACGACGAAGATGACGGCGGCGGCCAACCACCGACACCGCGCTACCGGGCATCATTGCCGCCGCCGCCGCCGAAGCAGGCGGTGTACACCTACTCTATACGTCCTATGTTGTAGTGGTTAATGGTTATTGGTTATAACTTGTACCTATAGTTATAAGGGCAGAGAAAATCGATGAAAAAAAAATCCATTATATTGATTGCGTTTAGATAACGTGATGTTTCACCACAACGCGTGTCGCAGATCGTAGGTACTATATATACACACACAAGGTGCATACATCTCGTATGTACTATTGTGATGAGTAACTGAGCAGGTATAAACGGTAATAATATGTGATAAATAGCGCTGTATCAAAATATTTGAAATAACTAAAATACCTGACTGGCAAACGAAATAATAATATAAAAAACGAAGGTAAAAACGTACAAAATAATATATTATAATAGAAACCAACTAGGCCATTTTTAGGCATAATAGAACATTTTTTTATAGGGAAATCGTTGTTTTTTAATGAAATTTCATTTCTATTCGAAATGGTAATAAAAAATTACGAACTCAACAATAAACCCGAGTGACGAGCGAAAAAAGTTGCAAAATGTACAATAACAAAGACAGACCGTGCTGCATAAACATTAAACATTCATTGTACATTTCACATCACGACTGCATTTATGCTGCAGTGTTAGACTCTTAGCTGTTAGGTGTTTGCTTTTTCTTCTTTAATTTTTCGCTTTTGTTTTCGTGAATACGTTTGTAGTCGGCTGCACCACCGTCGGAATGAGATTATTACAATACAATCATTGGACGTCGCCGTCTTGGAGATGATTACAGCTTTTATGTGTGTGTGTGTGTGTGTGTGTGTGTGTGTGTGTGTGTGTGTGCGGGCATTGTACATACACACCATTATTATAATATAATTATTATACCAACACAAATATAAATAATACGTACACAACACACACCTATAATACGCGCAGTGTAGTGCACTTGCTACTGTTCTGTTCGCCACATACCCCGCCATAGTCTTGTGGCGGCTGCAATTTTGTTGGCCACCGCCGCTTATCTCTTTGCACTATTATTATTATTATTATCATTGATTATAAAACTAGTATTTAATATAAGGTATTATGTACCTATTATACTCTGATAATTTGGCCCGAGGTCCCCATCGTCGGGATGTCCAGGTGCCACCGTTAACGGTTTTTTGAGAAGGAAAATTGGGTTGTAAGTTTATGACATTGATCTTTCCATCGCACCACGCGAACGTGTATATTACCACCAACGACATAATATAATATATAATATTGTATCTACATTTGTATAGATTATTATTGCGAATTTCAAGACATACAGTCCAAACAGACATATTTTTATTTTATATTGCCCACCCAAATTATCAGATGTACCAACTATTTTAGTAATAACGGAAACGATAAATTCTTAAACACATATTAATTATTATACTAGAATACGACTGTGTGATGGGACCATGGATATATAAAACAATATGCTACATGTACATTGTAGGTATATGTAATTACATTTATTATATTTTATATTTACTATACGTCCATCCAGGTAGTATAGGTACTATATTTGAAGGAGTCACAAAAAAAATCATTATATTATTCCTGTAGTGGTTTTATATTCATTTAGCGTAATAATTGTATGCGTATAGAGTATATAATGCACCTAAGACATACATAAAAAATAATATACCCACTTACTTATTATTTTATGTGAAAAAATCTTAATGTTTTTAGTTTGTAATGTTTGTAAAAGTAAAATTTAGTATTAGGTTTAATGTATCAGAACTGTGTACCTATATATCTGTGAAGCTTTTAGTTTATTATATGATGTATACAGAGATTATTTTCATACAAATTTATGGTTGATTAATGGTAAAGATTAACTATGATAATGATAATGAATGCAAAATTGAATATATTTTAATCATTAATAAAATATTATTTTCATAACATATTGAAGTGCAATTTCTTCAAAACTTTAAACTTTGTTGTGTAAACATAAAATGTATTAAATACAATTTAACTAAAGTAATAGAAAATAATATTTTATATATTTACATAAATGCAAGTATTTACAGTATATCTAGTAAAGAGCTGAGTAAAAAAGTCATTGACATTTTTTTAAAATAAACTCTATAGGAATATTTATAATAAGATAATTATAATATTTAAAAATTGTAATTTGTATTTCGTAAGAAATAGTTTAAGTAAGAGCGAAGTTTTTGAGACATCAACTTTAAACATAGACCAAGATACACTAACAATTTACCCCAGTGATGGTTTTCAATTGTTTTCAT